TGTTTTCGACCGCATCCTTGACCCTGCGGTTGTAGTTCTGCAGAGAGCCGGTATTCTAACTGACATAACTTCAAGTCTCGTTCCGACCGACTGCGATGAAAAGCTGCCATTAACGACGTGGTAAACCTGCAACATGTAGTTGATGGTGAAATTCGTTCCAACAACAAAATCTACTCGGTTGGGCGATAATCTAGGTAACAACAAGATAATCAGAGGTCTGACTTTTCCACTCAGCTGCTATTCGCAACAGCGTTCATCCATCATCAATACCTTCCCGCGCTCTGGCTCAAAAAACTGGGTACAGAGTTCCTCTATGGCTATCAATCACATGCGTTATTAACAATTTTGATTAAGCACCGACTGATTTCCATCGGAAATATGACTGTTCTTTGCGCCAGCCTCAAATTTTCTTGTCCCCTCTTAGGTGTTGCAACTCCTGCGATGCAGTACTCGAAGCTTATCGGCTCAAAGGCTGGGTGGTCCCTAACGTTGAGGCCTTTGAGCAGTGTCGAGAAGAGCGTGCAACTGGACTGCGCGCGAAACTCGGTAAACAGGGCTGTCGGCTGGTTGGACATATGGGCGTGAACAAGGTGGCGGGCAGTTTCCACATATCGCCCGGCAAGAGCTACGGCCAAGGCCATGTTCATGTGCACGATCTCCAGGCCCTTGCGGGCGCCCAGGTAATTTTCCACCTCAGCCTCCTCCCTCTCCCCACCGACAAGAATATTTACAAAACTTTTGGTATTTTTACGCCCGTAGCCCTCACCAAACTATCCCGTAAGATAACACTCACCAGCTTCATTCCATTTAAGTAACCAATGTTAACCCTTCGATAACTTGAAAGAATCTTTGGATGTTTTTTTTTTCAGTTTAATCTTTCGCACAATATCGACACACTGACCTTCGGCGCCGCATATCCTGGCCATCGCAATCCACTAGACGGCTTAAACGTTTCCGTGGAATTGCGTGAGTTGTATTTTAAGTTTCTGGTATTCTGTATTCAGCGACACCCTTGTCCTACGCGTCGTTATGTCATATCTTTTCCTGTACTGCCTAGCTGATAGGTTTTAGTCAACTTATCCATAAATTGTGGGAATAATCTAATTATCCAACACCTTTTTATCCAGGCTTAAAGGTCTTGAATAATTTCCAACTGTCTGATATCTAACGACTTTGTTCAGAGCATTGCAGTTCTATGTAGTAAAGTCTAGTTGAACGGCAGCCTGGCGTCCAGATAACAATTGATTCTTCCAGTTAGTTTCCTTGACGCTTTTGGTTAACACCCCCAAAACTCCAGTTTGGCAGGTAAATTTCATAATTTTCTGTGACTTATTTCCAAAACTTTTTAACAAGTAATAAACATGCCGACTGTAGCGAATTGCTTCCTGATGCAAGAAAAGCATCTTCATTGTAGGCACTGCAGTTCAAGTCTAAAAGTATCAGTGCTGACACACAGAGCTACCTCTCAGCATGGGGAATGTTAATAATACATTACATTGCTCAACTTACGGTCTTGTATTAGCAACACTGAAGGCCTCGTTACGTATTCCTCAAGTATGCATTCCTTCGACCAGCAAGGTAGTGAATCGCCATAAATCCACCGACTTGTTTACGTAAAATGCCCAGACGGAATTCAGTTGTAGGATAGAATAATTCGCTCAAACCATGAAAACCAAGTCCTTGGTTTTGTTGTTGGTCTGCGGAGGACAGTCATCTGTTCTGCCACGGAAGCAGAACCTTCCCACCTTGAAGCACAACTATTTCTGAAAACGACTGCTACTACCATAATAATAATTATTAGGGAGGTTTGGCAAATTCGAACAATTCAGTTGACCCAATTGTTAAAAACTCGCGGCTTCGGTGGGAGCCGAAGCCACACAGCAGGGAAGGCTTTTGTGCAGCCAACGCTCTACCATTAGGCTACGAGGCTCATCATGAGCCGTGAATTTAATCACACTTGCCAATCCTTAAAAAGTGGTGGCACAAGCTACTACATTCCCAGTGTCTAGGACATCAAATCTCATATTTGGCAGCCAGCATAAGGGGCAGACTGGAAAACCCCAAATATTCCAGCGGGACAGACGGCATCACTCGACTTGGCCTCACGGTAGACTCCGGTCCTTATCTCATCCTCAACACACTTTTTCGGCAACAGTAGCTTATGTAGGCCCACTCATTAATCCCTACTCCCTGCATGTTTTCCTATGAAAGCGGTGGTTATCACTCATTAATCCCTACAACCTGCATTTTTTCCTACGAAAACGGTGGTTATCGAGTTTTATGGGTGGGGAATTAGGACACGCAGTGGATTATACTTTAATAAATGCTAAATGCATTTTTATTTTACTGT